CTTGGCCAGAGGCATCAGGCCTGGGTGGGGGGCGGAGCCGGGGATTGGGGGGATATGATGGTCCCCTGCCCAGGCATGATTCCTGGGCCAGAGGCCTCAGGCCTGGGCAGGGGTCAGAGCCAGTGATCGGGGGGAGATGGGGCCCAGGCCTGACGCCTATGTCAGAGGCGTCAGGACTGGGCAAGGGGCCGATCCTGCAATTGGAGGGTGATGGGGGTCAATGCCTGAGGGCTCCCAGTATGTGAGAGGGGGCAGGCTGGGCTGAGGGACACCCCCCACACACACCCAGTGCACAAATTTCGTGCACCGGGCCCCTAGTTTAAAAAATAAAATAAAATGAAGATAGACATACTGAAAAGGGAAGCCAAAAGAAGAATTTCGGTGCCATTTATGCTAGCCAAATGGTGGAAGTAGCCAAATACCAATCAGCTGAGGGCTAGATCAATAAAACATGGTACATCCACAAGATGGAATACTATGCAGTCATAAAAAGGATGTGTTGCTGACACATGCCACAGCATGAATGAACCTTGAAAACATTATGCAAAGTGAAAGACACCAGACTCAAAAAACTATATATTATATGATACATGTATATGAAATATCCAGAATAATAAATCAATGGGGACAGAAAGCAGATTAGTGATTGCCAGGTTTGGGGGGAAAGGAGAAAAGGGAGTGATTGCAAATGGTGCAGGTTTTTTGGGGGGGAGATGAAAATGTTCTGCAAATTACATAGAGATGATGATTGCACAACTCTGTGAATATACTAAAATTCACCAAATTGTACATTTTAAACATAATAATTTTATGGTATGTGAGTTATATCTCAAAGAAGCTGTTATTTAAAAAAGTGCTTAAACATGTTCTGGAATGATAAGAAATAGCCAACTCGGTTTGCACTGTGGAGACGATACTATAAACCAGGTAGCAGGCAGCTGGTTCAAAAAAAGCTTCTGGTTATAAGGACGACACTGATGTCAAAGATGTGAGTGAATGTGGAGAGTTGGGGAAAAGCCGTGTTTTTAAGTGAATGTATTATTTTATATAGCATGTGAATGAAAACATGTGTCACTGGAAAATATATGAATACTACCCTAAAAAGTTTACATATTCAAGTTGGTGTTTTAAAAAAACAAAACTTTCCTCACTGGGAGACTGGGGTTGTCTTACATTCAGGCATATCTTGCTCGTATCGATGTGTTAGGCTCTGGCCAGGTCCTCAGTACATCATCTGACTCTCAATACAAATAGTGGGCCCCAGGGTTTCCTTTTAGGATGATGAGAATGTTCTGGAACTAGATAGGGGTGACAACTTTTCAACATTGTGAATGTACCAAATGTCACTAATGGTAAATTTTATATGATCTATATTTTACTGCAATTTAAAAAGAAGAAAAAAAAGGATATGGCTGGAGGCCCTTTAATAGTGTCACCACCGAGTTCAGGTGGGGATCAGAAGTATTATTAATGGAGTCATAAAACCCATTCCATCTGGCTCATTTTCATGCCCCCGGGCCATTCAGTCCCAACTCTTGGAGTAGGGGTTCCATCACTGGTGCTTCATTTCTCCTCAACCTGTCACCCCACCCTCCCGCCCTCCCTGCAGGAGAGGAGTTTGTAAGTCTTGGCCTCACCACCTGCTGAGCAGCCTTGTGCAGGGCGTTTGACCCGCTGGCATTTTGTCTGATCTAGAAGAGAAAGATGGCACACTCTCTGCCCTGACCACCTTCCAGATGGGGGCAGCGAGCAGATGGGATCGTGCCCACAAAGCTCCTGGCAGCTGCAGAGGGTTGGGTCAGGGACCCAGTACTCCATGGTTATCAGGGCACAAAAAACCCCACGGCACCGTCTGTTGACCATGTGTGCCAGCTGGATAAAGACTGAAGAGTCTGAAGGAGACCAAGGCTTAGGGCTTAGTTTAGTGAACAAGACTATGGAACACTTGTTCCGATAACCCAAGGACTCATTCTTTTCTTTAATCATTCATCTTTCCACTCCTGCTACTGTTATGGGGCCAACAATGTTCCAGGCATTGGGGACAGAGAACTGAGCGTGGGTGGTCCTGATGAGAACACTGCAGAGAAGAGTAGAAAGAAGGAAAATTCTAGAACCTCATCTGCTCATCCACACCTGCTTTGAGGCATGACTTTGTTCAGTTAGTCCCACTGGTTTCACAGCCATGCTGAGAGGCCCAAGTTCCCGGAGGCCTTCCTTCCTGGCTTTTTACCTCTCGTCCTATTGGGAAGTTCTTCCCTGAGTCTGATTCTGATCCTGTGTAAGCATCTGAGAGATGCTTGAGTTGAGTGAGTTGAGTTGAATTTACAGATTCTGGTTTCAGCCCAGCCAGCATGGTTCTGTGGTTGAGCATCGACCTATCAACCAGGAGGTCACAGTTCAATTCCCGGTCAGGGCACATGCCCAGGTTGCAGCTCAATCCCCAGTGTGGGGTGTGCAGGAGGCAGCCGATCAATGATTCTCTCTCATCATTGATGTTTCTATCTCTCTCTCCCTCTCTCTTCTTCTCTGAAATCAATAATAAAATAAAAAGAGATTTTAAAAAAAGTTTCTGGTGTTGCCACCAAAGACTAAATCTCATCAACACCCAGGGAAAACTTCAGAGCAAGGGAAGTTTTTCCCTCCGCTCTCCTCACTCAGTTTGAACCTGACAACCACAGAGCTCCCTTTCCGGTTCCCTTTCTCTCCACCATCCTCTGCCCCAGAGGATGTATCCCATCCCTTCCAAACTTACCTGGGGACATCAGTGACTACCTGACCACCTGACCTCTACTAGCACCAGCATCTAGAAGTTTTGTTTGCTGTTAAAATAAAGAGGAGTTTTAAAATTCAGTCATTCAGCGCTACGGTCACACATGCACAGAGTCCCTGCTTTGTTTTTGGTTAGTTGTAAGAAAACAGGGCTGGGCAAGCACAAGGAGAGAAGACTCTAGGGTCCCCTTGGCTGGCAACTCCTAGAAGATCTTCCTAAGAACTCTTTGCATTTGTGCAACTTTAAGGTTTGCAAGGCACTTTTGTGCCCTTTCTTAGGCTTCACATCACCCCGAGGAGGGCATGGGGAAGATACATTATTACCTCTTTTATATAAATTTTAAAAATACTGATGTTCAGAAGTATTGACTGATTTGCGTCTAAACTATAACGTAGTAAAGCACTACCCAGTGGCACCAACCAGGAGGGCAATTTTGTGAGCACCTGGGCCAGTACTTGCACGTTTTCTACAGGTCAGGCACTAGGACTGTCATTGCTAAGCCACTATCAGAACAGAAGTCTGCAGTAGGCAGGTGGTGAGAAGGGAAAGGTACCCCACTCCAAAGCCAGACTCACCTAAATCCAAGGTTGTAGGAGGTCCTTCTATGTGCAACTTCACTCACTCCTTCTTCCAATCAAACACACTAAATAAAACAAATGTCCCCCCTCCCCCATTAGTGAGAGTAGGAAGGAAAAATAGAAATCCAGGCATGCTAAAATTGCATCATATCAAGATCCAAGGAGAGGTACCCTGGACCCTCTGGAAGAATGTGCAAATGAGATTCAATAGACTCTAGAAGACCTATCCCTGCAAGATGCCTCAAATTTGCATCCCTTGTAATTAGCACACTATGATAATTTCATTAATTTGTCACTGGAAACCAAAGGAGAAATTGTTCCAGGCAATTGACTGTAATTAGAGTGACCTTCTACCTCCTATTAGAAAGATATTAAAAGAGAAAGAGCCCTAACCCCTTTGATCCTGGAAGTGGCAGGATTGGCAGGCTTATGGGAGAGGTGGCTGTGGGGTGATGTCCCTGTTTGTAAAGTGGGTCTGGGTGAATGGAGTGCGCAGCAAAATCAACACAAAAACATTGCATAAAGGGCTCAGGCACTAACATCCCCACTGAGCTTGTATTGCTGCTGATGGATGAGGGTGTCCAGGCCACCCTCACAACCACCCCAACTCATCCCAGCCTCTCTCGCCCACCTCTTGAATCCTGGACCCACTGAAGTCAAGGTTCCTTGGGTTTACTTCTTTGTCTATCTTCCTACTGCAGCTGGTTTACAACCTCTCACCCACCAGGCCATGTCCTATTGTTTTCACAAGCACCAACTTCCCCAGAAAGCCTGCTCAGATCCCATCAGCCCCTCCCTGCCATTAGCACCCCACCCACCCCAGCATGGGAGGCTCAATTCCCCGCAACCAGCAATACCCTCCAAAAAGCCCCTTCTCTCTCTCAAATGATACTGTTTTTTCCCCAAATAATTTCACCAAAGGTGCTTGAGGGTGGGGTGGGGGTGGGAAGGGGAGCATACTGGTAGTTTGTATAACTGCTTTGCTCAAGAAACTGAGCAATCGCTGAAGCTTAACATCACAAGCTTGAGTGAATCTTAGAGGTCATCTGGATCACCACACCAGCTGACCTAGAAATGCTCTCCAAATTCTAGCCTCAGAGAAACCCCAGCAATGAAGAACTTGCTACCTTCCAAGTCAGTGAATACCATTGATGTCTGTTACTCATTATGAAAGGACATGGAGTAGTTACTGAATGAATCAATACACGACAAAAGAAGGAATAGGAGTAATAATGACATCGAAGCAGATTGAATATAGTATATGGTAAAGCGATAGCTCCTGAAGCTAGCTCCCCTTCCCAGTGGGAGGGGTTGACTGTCACTACCCTCTGAACAGCCCCGGCGGGGACAACCAGAAGACTACAATTTTCCTAGGAGCAGGTCACTTCCAGCATTCTGACATACCCCCTCCTAAGTACCCAGAAGCTGTTAATCTGGTAATATCCCTTTGACCTCACTCCCACAAGGTCCCCACACCCACAACGTTCCCAACACAAGCCGTGGGGGCACCTTTCTTACCTGTGGCCACAGAGGAAGACCGGCCATTCAAAGAATGCAGAGAACCAGCCTGGCTTGGAGATCCTGCTCAGCTGACAAAAGTCCCCCAAAGCAGAGAGGCAGGTGCAGAGCAGAGCTGGGTGCCTTCATTTCGTGGTCACTCAGAGGCTGATGAGGAAGACCTGACTCTGAGAGTCCGGCTGGCCTCCCGGGGAGGGCCGGACAAGTTCTGCAGACAGGTCGGTCTGCCCGGGGCTCCCAGCCCTGGCAGCCAGGGAAGCCTCAGGCAGGTGCTACTGAGAGGGTGTGGAGAGCTCGACACAAAGGCTTCTGTAGGTAAAAGGCAAACCCGTCCACAGGAGGGACTGCTGGCTTGGCAAGCACACACACACCCGCTCTCATCCTTTCTCTCTCTCTCTCTCTCTCTCTCTCTCTCTCTCTCTCTCTCTCTCTCTCTCTTGTGCTGTTCTCCCTGCCTTCCCTCCTCCTTGTCACCTCTTTCCCCATTTATTCCTCCAAGTCCAAAATAGATTCATTATACATTTTTATATTCTCTAATATGTATAATTAACAAAACACACACACACACACACACACACACACACACACACACACACACCCTCTCTGGAGCGGGGGAGGTGGAGCCTGTGACTATTCAGTCTGTGTCCAGTGGGGACAGACAACAGATTTGCTTTCCCTTGTCCAGTTACTAGGATGCTTTGCTCTTTGCTCCGAAGGACCCCATGCTCCTGGATCACTGCCTGGGCCCTGACCCAGCCTCGGGTGGGGACTCTCCTGAGTCCTGGGTCTGTGGGTCCACAGAGCAGTACGGTTTTGAATAAAAAAGGATGGAGTCGCTGGACAGCCAGCCTACAGTTCTCTCCTTGCCCTTCTCCCCTGGAGCCCCGTCTCCCCCAGCCAGCCTCCTGTGGGAACACCAGGTCTCTCCTGCTACCACCCAGTTGGCCTGCCACCTCTCAGCCTCCTGGCTGGTCACCTTGCCTTCCATTTCTCAGAGAAGCAAGGTCATCCTCCTCCCAGCTGCCAACAGACCTCTGGCATCCTTCCTTCTGGCATCAAACCAGGGGTCTGCTCCTCCTCCCGTGCAGGCACAAGTTAGCACCTATGGTCTTGATAGTGCCCCATCTATTAACTGTCCCCAGGTGTCCTCAGGTCTCCCCTCCCCCTCCTGCTTTTTCCACCCCTCAGCCCATGAATAAGTTCATCTTCCATCCTGAAAACACTCTGACTTCTGCCTCCCCCTTAAGCTACTTGCTATTTCATCCCTTATTTTGTTAAAGCAAAGGGCAGCCTCGGACATGACAGCCAGGGATTGGTTTCCGGCTCTGCTCCTTCAAAGCTCTGTGATTTGGGGCAGGTCTCTTAAGCTTTCGGTGCTCCATTTCCCTCATATGTAACAGGAGGATGTTTGTTTGAGGAGTCAATGAGTTAGTATGAATAAAAGGCTTAGAACAGTGGAATAGTACCCTCTCTGCATACATTTACACATGTGTATATTGCTAATATTATCTTTTGAGAACATTTAAGTACTTAAAATAAAAAATAACAATACCCATATTCCCATTACCCATAATTAGCAAATGTTAGTATTAATTTCACCATATTTACTTTCATCTTGATATATATATCAACATATATATCAATATATATATGCCTATATACATACATACATACATACATACATACATATATATATAGTGTGTGTGTGTATATTTAAAATTATATAAGCATTTAATACATACATTCTCCAGAGAGAAAGACAGGAAGACAGGAGGAAGGAAGGAAGGAAATAAGGAAAAGAGACAGAAATGAGGAAAGAAAGAAAATAATCATAGATTGTATCAATCAGGGTTCTTGATTATAAGCAATAAAAGCCTAGTGATTTACTTTTAAGCAGCAAATGCCTTTATCCAAGGATGATGGGCAGTTCACAGAAACACTTAGAAATCTGGAGAACCTGCTCGGGGCACAGGTGAGAGCAGGGAAACATCAGCCAGACTGGAGCCAAGATCACGACCACCACCTGCCCGGGGGCCCCTGCGGCTGCAGACCCGGATGCAAAGCCTGTGCTGTCGCTGGTGCTGCTGTCCCTGCTGTGCCTGGGAACCACTCCATTTCATCTCCAGGCCAAAGTCCTGCTGCCGCTGCTGCTACGCTGCTGCCAGACTAATTCTTCCCTCTCCCTACTTTCTCGTGTCTATAGCTCCCTATGCAAAGGCCAGGACAGACGCATCTGGTTAGTCATGTGCCCATGAGTTAGATGGAAGGAAGACAGAGGAAGCAGGATCTGGTGTTTTGAGCTTCTAGTCAGTGGTTCTCAACCTTCCTAATGCCGTGACCCTTTCATACAGTTCCTCATGTTGTGGTGACTCCCAACCATAAAATTATTTTCATTGCTACTTCATAACTGTAATTTTGCTACTGTTATGAATTGTAATATAAATATCTGATATGCATGTTGTATTTTCATTGTTACAAATTGAACATAATTAAAGCATAGTGATTAATCACAAAAACAATATGTAATTATATGTGTTTTCCTATGGTCTTAGGCGACCCCTGTGAAAGGGTCGTTCGACCCCAAAGGGATCGCGACCCACAGATTGAGAACCACTGTTTTATGTGGAACTTTCATGGTGGGGACATTCCCAAGATATTTAAAAGAATTTAAATGCTGGTAAGTGCCTCCAAACCTAACACTGTGGTTCCTAACATCCAGGCATACCCTAGTTTTCATCATTACACTTCGAGAAAAATACTGACACTTTACTGTTTTAAAATCTGTGCCCAGAATTGGTTTAATCAAGTGTGGTGAGACATGCAGACAGCAGAATGATTGCCATGAAAAAATGATTGTCACCGGTCCCTAGAAGCAGGAGTCATGGTACACGCTCCAGGCTCACATGGGGAAGCACCAGGGCCAGCCAAGGGCAGAAAGGGCAAAGAAGAGAGCAGGGCCCAGAGTATATATCAGAGTTTCTGTAGGAGAGACACGGAGAGGGTGAGCCGCTTAGGACTGGATAGTTTGAATAATGTTGGCAAGCTGTGCGCATTAAGATGATCGTTACCTGGTCTGGGGTGATTTAATGCAGAGCAAATATTGGTTTGGTGTGTGTGTGTGTATGAGAGAGACAAAGGAGGTGGTTGGGGATGTTGATCAGGATTGGTTGGAGGATTTGTAATGTAATTTTTGTATGCCCATAAAAGCCGCGTCACAGGGGAGACATAAACAACCTTCGCCGTTCGCTTGGCTCTGTGAGTAATGGGTGCCAAACAGGCAAATACGGGATCTAAGAAAACGCAGTTAGAACACCAACACAAGGCAACCGGGCCTCACAGAAAGAAAAGTGCTCATCCTAACCCGTCAGCCTCATCAGTGACTCCGTCCGCTTCGTTCTAGCCTCTCTGGGCAATGCCCATTCTTGCTCCACTCCTGGCACCCTGGCACCTTGAAAGTGTGTTTCCTATGGAGTAAATTGTGAGGTTTATCAAAAGCACTGCTGCCTATAAGGGCATGGGGAGGGCAGGAAATAACACCAATCAACAAAGTAAAGAAAGAAATAGAGGCAGAAACAGCCCTCATTGTTGTAAAAGATCATTAAGTTAGAGGTAGTCTGTAAGCTTCTCCCTCCACCCATTCTCCAGAAGCAGCACCTATTCTAAAAAGACGAGGGCAGCCCCGGCCGGGTAGCTCAGTGGGTTAGAGCGCCGTCCCCAGAAGCCAAGGTTGTGGATTTGATCTCCCAGTCAGGGTCAGGGCACATCCACGAAGCAACCAATGAAGGCATAACTAAGTAGAACAACAAATCAATGTTCCTCTCTCTAAGATAAAATAAATAAAAGGAAACCTGACATAGGGCATAAAGTTCATTCAACATATGACATGAAGTGGGAGGGCACTGTGGGGATTCAGGACGAGTTACCCCAAGATGTGCCTGAGTGGTGTGTGGATTGTTCTGAGTTCTGTGGGCTCAAAAGAAACTTTTGCCCCTCCCCTCTTACCTACCTAGAAGAACTTGAATTAGGGGCTTTGCCTAGAGTTAGAGATGATCAGAGATAACGTTTTATGACCTATCTGTACGGCAGAGCAAACGTCTAATTAGTGATCATCTGCTCTTCTAATCGTCCTTCAGTGACCTTCCTCCCCTCTGAGGCCCCAAGGTCATCGTTAGCTTGGGATGTCTTATACACCCATGTTCCCTTTCTGTCTTGGAACCTCTCCTGCGTGTGCGGTCTCTGTCTCGTGTGTGCAGAGTTCCCGTACGTGTGCATATGTTACACTTGGTTATTTTCTCTCGCTAACCTGTCTCATGTCTATTTGACTACTGGACCAGCCGAGAGAGCCTAGAGAGCAGAGCAACGTTCCTTCCTCCCCCACAGCACCGTCTAAGCTCGCCCCTGCCTCACAGCTCTCCACTCTCTCCCTCTGCATCCAGGAGAAGTGACGGAGGCAGTGACCCTATGCCACCCCTTCATCCATTCAAAGGCCAACCAGGAGCACTGTGTTGGGCTTTCTCTGGGATTTTCCTACACTGAGTTGCATAAACCAAGAATTGTTTCTGTCTTCCAAATTGTGACACAAGCCAAACAGTCCCAAGGGCCCCAATGCGGACACACCCTGCCCTTCCGTCTTGGCACTAACGTCATGGAACACAGTGAGGAACCGCATGAAAAGCAGAGGATCAGTCCTAACCTACAACCCTTTGGATATGGAAGCTAGTTTTTCATTGATTAAAAACTGTGGGAGAAAATATTTGCAAATCATCTGTCTTATAAGGGATTATATCCACAATATATAAAGAAGTCCTACAACTCAACAACCCAAAACCAAACAACCTGATTCAGAAATGGGCAAGGAACTTGAATAGACATTTCTCCAAAGAAGATATACAATGGCCAATAAGCACACGAAAAGATGCTCAACGTCACAAAGTATCAGGGAAATGAAAGTCAAACCACAGTGAGAGGCCCAGATACCCATTAGGGCGACTGTTACAAAGCACACACACAAAATCACACGTGTGGGTGACGATGCAGAGAGATTGAAACCGCTGCATTGTGGGTGGGGATATAAATTGGTACAGCCACTATGAAAAACAGTATGGTGACTCCTCAAAAACTTAAAAATGGGATTAGCACATGGCCTAGCAATTCCATTTTGGGGCATAGCCCCAGAAGAACTAAAAGCAGAGACTCGGCGAGGTATTTGCACACCCACATTCATAGCAGCATTACTCACAACAGCCAAAAGGTGGGAGCAGCCCAAGTGTCAACCGGCAGACGACTGAATGAAGATGTGGCATATACAC